CGGGGCCGGCCCCCCGCGCCGCGCTCCCCTCCCCCGCTCTCCCTTCTCCAGCCCGACCCGGGACATTTGCGCGCTACGGGCGCGCGGCGGACCGAGGGGCGGGGCCTCGCCGAATGCTCGTAGGCCCCCGGCGGGCGCGTCACGTGGCGGCGGAGCGGCTTCCCTTCTCCGCGGGGTGGCGCGGGGGATTTGCAGCCCCCCAAAAGTGCAGGCCTCGTAGTGGCCGGGCTTCGCGTCGGGGCCCAGAAACACGCTCACTCCGGGGTCTGCTCCCTGGGACACTGCTGGGGCATCCCTCTTCGGGGGAGAAGGCGGCACCTCCATCCTATTTTCCAGATGGGGAAGCTCCCGATCTCACTCACTCCGGTCTGTTTGCAAAGCCCGAAGCTGTCCAGACCACTCACGGGGCCTTTTCCGACTTTTTAGTCCAAGCTCTGCCCAACAGGCTGTGTGCCCTTGGGCAAGTCACTTTCCCTCTCTGTACCTATTTGTTACGAAATTATAAAATTCAAAAAAGGCTGACAAATGGGACCGTTGTGTCAGTGGTGACACGTAAGCAGGGCCTCACTGAAGTGGAAGTCCCCTGAAGGCAGGGCAGTGCCACATTCATTAGCGGGTGCTTTTAGCCCAACTTAGTGCCTAATACTTGCAAGAAAGTGTACAGCCCGCTAAGCGCCAGCCCCAGCAGCTCGCAGCGTGCATCTCAAGAAAGCAGCACAACTGCTGGATGGCGTGGGCGGCGTTAAGTTCACTTCACGGCGTCAGAGATGATAGGACCAGGAGGCCTGCATTAGAGGCCGAGTCTTGAACCACTGAGTGGGGCCGAGGCGCTTCTGTTTAAATAAGGCTTTCCAGGTAATGTAAATGCACCACACTCTGCTCCCTCCTCCAGGGCCCCAAGACATGGACCACAAAAAGCCTGAAACCTCTCCTGGGCGTTGGTAACCAGAATCTGGGATTAGGGTATTTGCCTTCCAGCACTCACATTTTACTATTGGCTCTTAAAGCTCAAGCAATGTCTTAAAGGTTCAAGACAGTCCATGGTGAGTGATGGATAAATGTGAAATAATTGGCATCCAGTCCACGGGTACAGAAAACGTTTTCTTGAGACTTTCCCCCAAACCCAGAAATTCATCTAATTCTTCCCCTTCAAACCTCATTCTCAACTGAGTCCAGCTCAATTCATACCTATCCCAACTGGACAGGCCTTTTGAAGGGAGAATTATCATCACCAGTGATAAACTGGTAAATGTTTCACAACCAGCTCCCAGAAGAGAAAAAAAACACACCAAAAACCCTGATTTGTAGCATTTGCTGATTTCAGTGATATATAAATATGCTCACCATGGACAATTTCCTGCTACACTGTGATATCACTGAACAGAGTTGGAAAGAAATACCAGCCTTTAGCACACTGCTGAAGCAAGTACCTGGGCCACAGGCTGTGACAAGTACATGCATTTTCTCATTTAACCTTCATGAAATATCAAGTAGGTATTAATATCCTCATTTCATAGATAAACTCAACTTTTTTTTGACGCAAGTGGCCGAACCAAGATTCTAAACCAGGCTGGTGGCTAACAAAGCCACTGCCCTAGGACAGAGATTTTCAATTTTTTCGGGAAAAAATGGCCAAAGTAAGAGAAACATTTGAAATCAGGACCTGGTACACATCCACACAAAAAACAATGCTTACCCTTATTAAGTGTGATGTGACTCTTAATCTTCTATTTTATTTTCTTTAAATGCAGGTTGCACTCCACTAAAATGTTTTGTGACCCACAAATGGGATAAAACAGTCTGAAAAACACTGTGCTGAGGGCTGCTGCTTTCATACACAAGGCCTGCTCAGATTGGTACCAGTGACCCAGAGTATCTCCTAAGTGCCTGATCTACCTGTGTTTCCCACGCAGCTGCAGGGGTCCGGGAGCCTTGTAATACCTTCCGATTAGGCAATGGGCTTCCAGGCTCCTTCCCACCATCCCAGCCTTTAGAACCATCTGCTCCCCTTCCTGACCTCTCCTATAGCACTTCTCAAGATGAATGCAAGGAGCACACATTAGGAAGTGGAAGAGAAAGAGAAAGCAAACGGGCAGTTGTTTCAGTCAACAAGGGAGTGGCATGGACACACCAAGAGATAATTCACCCACCATGCATTATTCACTGTGGTCTCTCCCCATCTGCAACATTAGGAGCTCTGCCTTCTCTCCCAGGCCTCTCAACTCACTCTCAGAATTCCTCCCTCTCCTCTCTTTCCTTCCCAGCTTCCTTTGAAGGAGGAGAACCCCACAGCTTAAAGACTGGGACAGAGAGGTGCTGGCGTTCCCTACACTGCAGCAGTGTCCCAAGATGACCGGGAAATCTTAGCTAGGGTGGCCTTCAACAGCCACCCCACCCCACGCCTCCTTTTTCTGATCTGTAAAATGGGGTTATCCACAGCATGCTGCTGCTGGGAGGGCTGAGGGATAGAGGTGCTTAGCACAGTGCCTGGCCCCTCAGTGCCCAGGGAGTGGCGTGAGCTGTTATTTGGACTTCAGTGAACCACCTAGGAAGAACTGTGGCTGCACCTTCTGATCCCTTCTGGTCCAGTTAATTCTCCCAGGAAGATAACCAGAAGGCCACCAGGAGGACTCATCCACATTTTGCTGCTCACAAGTGGGAAGGAATTTACTATCCCTCTCAAGAGCACTGATTATCAGCCAATTGCTGTCTTAAATGTTTCACTTCTATTTAAGCCTCACAGCACACCTAAAAGATAGGTACTGTTGAGCCCATTTTACAGAAGAGGAAAGAAGCACAGCTTATGTCACTTGCCCAACAAGGTCACACAGCCAGATGGAGCCACGTTTCAAACCCTAGCCGTCCCACTCTACCACTCTGGGGCATCAGCGGGGCAGGACGTCTTTGCATCCCATTTGGAAGGAGATGGACTGAGACCCAGTAAAGTCAAACTTGCCATGCCACTCAGCAGATCCACAGGAGCACTGTAATGAGGACTCCTTATCCAGTGCTCCTTCCATAAGTGTGACTCGACCTTAGCCAAGTCAGCAAATTAGAAAGATTCGTGGGCTCCGAGCCCCTCCCCTCAGTGCTGAGCCAGCTTGCTGTCACATTTTCCTAGGGCAATGCTTTTCTGCCTTCTACCTATCCAAACCCAACCCCAAGAGGGCCCCACCACATCACCACTCCATCAGGGAGGACTGATCACCAGAACAATCCACTTTGTGCCTGGCTCTAAACTATGTGTCTGCAAAACTCAATGCAGCCCTTACTTCCAAGGTAAGGGTTAATGGGGGGAGGGGCAGACATGAAACCGACAATTACAAATTACAATGTAACGATGTAAAGGCCAGGCTGGGGTGACTCTGGGTGCTCCAAGGGCAGAAGGGGGCTCCTAACTTTAGCCCACCAGCTGTGGCTCAAAGGAGAATGCCTGCAAGAAGTGACTTTTCAGCAGAGCTGGAAAACGAGGAGACGTGTGCAGGTTGGGAGAAGGCAGTGATCCAGGCTGAGGGCAGGTGGGTGTTCAGGCCCCCAGGTGAGAGACTAGAGCCCCAGGAGGTGAAGAGAGGGTTAAGGTGGGAGGGAGCCTGAACCTGCAGAGGTCGGCAGGGGCCAGGAGGGGAGCGCCCCGGAAGTCTTAGTCTATACCTCGAGGGCAGTGGGAAGGCCAGGAAGGGTTTTAAACTGGGGAGTCACGTGATCAGTTTTGCTCGGGCTGGATGGGAGGAGGAGGTGGCAGTAATCTGGGCCAGAGTTGTGAGCAGGCAGCAGCAGCAGGAAATCGAAGTGGACGGATATGAGAGGTATCGAGGAGGTGGAACCACCAGGACTCGGGGATCTGGTGGGATGTGGAGCGGTGAAGGAGAAGAAAGGCGTCACATGTGTGCCCTGAGCCTCAGGCTGGCTAGTGGTGCCACTTACGAAGACAGAAAACCCAAGGAGTGAGTCTGGGGGCGGGGAGACAAGTTCGGTGTTGGTGTAGGGTTGGGGGCAGGGATGAGCTCCCATGTGCTCCAGGTCTCCCAGTTTCACTCCTTCTGGTTCTTTCTTCACATAATCCACTCACCGCATCCTTAAACCCCTTCAGAGGAGTTTGGGATCACATCTCAAAAGGGACCGGGCAAAAAAATCACTTGAGTCAATCCTTGCAAATCCCTTAAGTCTCCAGGAAAATGTAGTGTAGGGACATACCTCCCTTCGGCAAGTTCACAGAGGTCTTCGATGTCTCTTCTGGCTTGGGGGCGAGAGGCAGTCTCTGCTTCTTCGTTTGAGGCGGGAGCGAATTCTGTCGTTTGGGGGCCATGCTGTGAAGAAAATCCAAGAATCAGACCCAAGAGGGGACCAGCGTGTCTGGAATAAGCGCTGAGAACTGAGGCTGCCCCGTGTGACGGAGGTTTAAATCCGCTCTGGAGCCGCCCAGCCTGGGGGGGAATATTTACATGACAGTGGGACACGCACTCCATTTCCCCTCCCCCAGCCTCATCCCTTCCCACCCACCCTCCAATCAAGATCAACTTCTTTTACTTGTTCTCTGTGTTTCTCTAGAGGGGCATTCTTGGCGTTGGGTGGGCGGGGGAGGTATTTCCTTGTGGGGAGCAGTTCCTGCTTTCCAGAACCCTCCTGGTCTTGACTTGAAACACCAGCAGCCCATCCCCCACTCCTTTCCCAAATCCCCTAGGTAGGCAGTGCTGCCCCCATTGAAAACTTGTCCTCTTCTTTTTTTCCTTTGGCCTCCAGAAGACTTAAACGTGCCCTTGCCTCACCTCAGCCTGGAATGTTCTTCAGTCCCTCCACCCCCACCGCTATGTCTGGCTAACTCCTTCCCAACCTCCAAGGGCTAAATGAATGTTGAAATAAAGGATTCTCATCAAGGATTACAAAGGAAGAGGGAAAAGCAGGTACCCTTGAGAGGACTTGGAGCAGCCATTCATTCTTCACTCACTTCAGAAAAGGATAGAAGGTTGAGAGTTCCCAGAACATATAGAAGACATCTTGTCTGGGAGTCACAAACCCCAGTGCCTTTGGGGGCCTGTCAAGGAATAACTATGAGTAAGGCAAGCAACTGGATATTCACAACAGCTAGTGGAAGGTAGCTTGGTACAACCAGTCTGGAAAACTGGGTGCCAGCTCTGCCAAAGCTGAATGTGTGCTGAGTTACTGTTACCCAGCGATTCTACTCCTGGCTATATCCTCAACAGAAATGCATACCCGTGTGCACCAGTGTGTGTGATAAATGTGTTCAAGAATTTTTATAGCAGCGAGATTCATAATAGCCAAAATCTGGAAAGAATATAAATGTCTATCAACAATTGAAAGAATACGTTGTGAGATATTGATACAAGGGAACATGATAAAACAATGAAAAGGAACGAGCCACAGCTACATGCCACGATGTGAACACAGCCTGCAAACATAATGTGGAGTGAAAGATACAAGACGCAAAATAGGATAGGCTGTGTGATTTCATTGGCATAAAACGCAAAAACAGGCAAATCTGATCTATGCTGTTAGAAGTGGTTATTCTTGCCTTGGAGAGGGACATCATTGGAAGGGGCATCAGGGGCCTATGGACTCCTGGGCATGTTCGGTGTCTGGATCTGGGCTTGCTACCCCAGTGTAGTTAGATTTGTGAACCCGGTGTTGGCAGATCTTTGATTTTTCTAAAGAGAAGCCAGAGAAACACATTTTTTTGGTAAACTCTCTGGATTTTAAAAAGTTAGCAACTAAGTAAACATTTTAAAACATGCTTTGTGGGGGCTGAGCTGGTGGCATAGTGGTTAAGTTCACGCGCTCCAGTTCAGTGGCCCAGGGTTCGGAGGTTTGAGTCCCGGGCCAGATCGACTCATCAAACCATGCTGAGGCGGCATCCCACATACAAAATAGAGGAAGACAGGCAAAAAGAGGAAGATTGGCAGCAGATGTTAGCTCAGGGCCAATCTTTCTCACCAAAATAAATAAATAAATAAAACACACTTTGTGGACCAGATAAAACATGTGATCAGGCCACTTTCAGCCTATGGACCATGAGTTTGCCACTTCTGAGACAGAGCAATAATTTTCAATTTTTTTTCGTTGTTTTTTTCCCCCATTGATTACCCTTTAAAAAAATAAATCTTAGGCATAAGTCGATGTCAATACCAATAAAAACCTGAGCTCTTTCTGGTGGAAGATTCCATCACCACCACCTCTTGCTCCCCGCCACCCCCGTTCTTTGTCAGCTTCTGAGGAACTTTGAACTCCAAGACATTTTGAAAGTCACAAGTGTCTTGGATTTACAGATGAGCAAGCTGAGACCTGAAAGAAGTGATTTACCAAAGGTTGTGAGGAGAGTAACTGAGTTATAGCTGGAACCAGGGTTCTGGGGTCACTTTATCACGGGGATGAGCTTTCTAACCAGCCTAAGCCTCAGTGTTTATACCTGTAAAATGGATGATAACAATACCTGCTTCTTTGTTTTAGGATTTTCAACTTGAGGACAAAGGGTCATCTTTTCCCTGTTTTTACCACAGAAATTGTCCAAAAATAGTATGGGAAACAAAAACGAAAACTCCCTTTTGATGAAACTGGGGGTCAGCTAAACCCCAAACCACAGAATAGGTAGCTGGATGGCCAAAGCACTGGAGAAGGAACAGGATGTGTACAGGAAGAGAGGGCAGACACCCTGGCTACAGATTTCTGGGAGGATCAGCTCTGGAAGCTGAGGGGCAAACCCCAATCCCTTGCTTACAGCAGCCAGAACTGGGTATACAGACAGGACGCTGCACTGCGTTGGTTCCTAGAAACAAAGAAGTGTCTACATGAGGAGTAGCCCAGAGGAGCTTCACGAGACCAATACAAATTAGAACTACCTTGTGAGTCCTTTATTTTTTTACCAACCAACCAGAGATCCAGAAGTTTAGAAACACCCCACCTGGGAGAGGCTGTGAGAAGAGGCACTCTCCTTACTAGTGGCAGCTTAAATGGATACAATCTCTTTGGAGGGCAATTTAGCCCTCAGAGTATCTATCAAAAGTGCAAAAGTATATACCCTTGACCCAGAAATTCTCCTTCTAGGAATTTATCTTACAGATTCATTGCACAGCTGTGAGATAGCCCCTGTAGGAGGCAATTCATTGCAACATTGTAAAAGCAGAAGATTGGAAACAACCTAACCACTTCTTTAGGCTTTTGGGGACCAAAGGGTGTATCCATACCATAGAATGTTCTGCAACCATCAAAGCAAATAGGGAACCAGAGCTATGGCAAAGTGAAATAAGCGAAGTCCTAAACCAAGTAGTTAGTATGTTACCACTTGTGTAGGAAAAAAATACACTTTCACTTATTTGCCTGATAACCACCAACACACCTCTTGAAGGACTCCCATGAAGGTGATAACACTGCCATCCCGGGGGAGGGGACTGGCTGGTGAGAAATGAGAGGACAAGGATACGGGCAAGACGTTTCACTCTTAACCCTGTTGTATATTTTGAATTTTGAAACTTATGAATATATTACATTAAGCAACAACAAACCAAAGATTACCTGAGCTCCAGTCCTTGGAATCACTCAGATTACCTCATCACAGCACCCACTTGGTACATGTCAGCTTAAATTCAAACATGCAAGACCCCACCTTTCCTTTCCTCTCCGGCTTCCAAAATTTTAACTTCCTGGATTCCCAGAGGTGTTACTAGGCAACTGTGCAACTCTGCTCCATTCCAGAATGGGCTGCAGGCAAGGTGGGGGCAAGGCAAATGGCCTCCCTCCACCCCACCCGAAAGTTGACAGGTTCATGATGTTCCATAACCCTGAGGCCAGGCTCCCTCTGGGAACCAGCAGTTTCCAAAACATCCAAAACACTGTATTGTTTAGTTATCTGTGTGCACCACAGGGTAGCTATAAATAGCTACCATTTATTGAGCATTAGCTGTATGAGAGGCATTCACTAAGCATTATCCTTTTGAACCTTCCCATCAATCTTTCCAGTACAGTATTATGTCCTTATTTTACAGATCGGAGAATCAAACCAAGTGAAGAATCAACACTCGAAGAGTCTTGCCCCAAAATCAAAGGGATAGGAGTAGAAGACTCAAGATTTGAACCCGTGTCTTTCTGAGTCCTCTGCACCATTTTGGCCCAAATGTGACGCAAACAGACCGCTACCCGCAGTGAGCCCAGAACACACCAAGGTTTGTCTCTGAGACACACACAACCCCAGGAGATCATCTCTGGCTGTCTCCTGGTAGATTTCCCTTCACAGTTCTCAGCACAGAGGAGGCACTAGGATTAAGACAACCTTTTGTCTTAATGGGTGCCAGAGTCTGAAGGTCACTTAATTCGTCTTTCATTGTCCCCACCTGTGCTCTGGCTCCTTAGGGCTCATTAAAAAGTTACGATAAGCAACTAGAAGGATGTGCGGCTATGACACACAACTATCTACTGGGGCTTTGGGGAGAAAAGGGGAAAAAAAAAAAGGAGGAGGATTAGCAATAGGTGTTAGCTCAGGGCCGGTCTTCCTCAGCAAAAAGAGGAGGATTGGCATGGATGTTAGCTCAGGGCTGATCTTCCTCAAAAAAAAAAAAAAGTTACGATAGCATTTTTATTAAAATTTAGAAAATTAATGGGGCTCACCTGGTGGCACAGTGGTTAAGTTTGTGAGCTCCGCTTCATGGCCCAGGGCTCACAGGTTTGGAACCCCAGCCTCGGACCTATGCAATGCTCATCAGGCCATGCTGTGGCAGTGTCCCATACACAAAATAGAGGAGGATGGGCACAGATGTTAAGCTCAGGGCCAATCTTCCTCAGCAAAAAGAGGAAAGATTGGCAACAGACGTTAGCTCAAGGCCAATCTTCCTCACCAAAAAAAAAATTTTTTTTTAGAAAATTAAAATAAGGCAAAAAGGGTTATACAAATATCCCACCATCAAGAGATATAGCAACTACTGGGCCGGCCCCGCGGCTTAGCAGTTGGGTGCGCGCGCTCCGCTGCTGGCGGCTCGGGTTCGGATCCCAGGCGCGCACTGACGCACTGCTTCTCTGGCCATGCTGAGGCCGCGTCCCACATACAGCAACTAGAAGGATGTGCAGCTATGACATACAACTATCTA